CTTTTGAGTGCGATTGCACAAAGTCTTCCTAGGTTAGTTACAAGGTCTTGTATTTCTTCTACCCCAGCCACTTAACTTAATTGACAACAGAATTATATGAAATTGGGAATGCTTTACTCAATTGCACTCAAAGCTTTGTGATCAGAATAAACATTTGGATGGCTTGAAATCCAGCGAGGCATTGCTAAATGGTATCCCAGCAAATGATTAAGTGCTGCAAAGGGCCTATCATTGACCGTCACAGGCAATTTAACAAAATAAAATAAAATAATTCTCCACAATTCTACACTCTAAGATAACAGAAGTGACATCAAAATTTTCAGAATTGGAAATTGGTATATTTCAATCCTTTTTGTGTGCTTCTGTATTTCAAGGTTTGTTGCTTCTGAACTTTATGGTTCGGTCACATGTTTTTGAAAAGCGCAGTAAGTTTTATCTTGTTCTGACTTTTTTTATCTTCTTTATACTGAGACACTGAGACATGGGACATTTAGATCCCCAAGGTGAAATTATTCCTAAAGAGTTTCCAAATCCAGAACAACCACGGATATGGGGGGGGGGGGGGGGGGATGGGGGGGGGGGGGGGGGGGGTGAGAACAAACTGGCATGGTTCTGCCAACAGCTACACTTGCAGCTTCTGCTAGCTTACAATTATTGACATCTTTATTTTACACAATGGATGCTATAGTAACAGTTTGATTCACAGTGCAGAACAAACCCAAAATTTTGAAGAACTACTGAGAGTTCTTTAAGCCATCTTCAAAGGTTGAGCTTGTAGTATATATTGTCAGCTTAATAAATCTTAATCAGCATAAATTTTATAGATGATAAAAGAGGATGGGACAAAATTTTCAACACCAAATATTATTTTTTTTGTAAAAAATTATGTGATTAAAATTTCAGCCAAAGTAAATGATACTTGCACCAAAACAGGCTTCAGCAAACATACAGTGTACAAGTAACATAAGCTTAGGTAAAGATGCAAGTGGTAACCTATATTTGTAACGTGTCTCGTTTAATGACTTTTAGTTACCTTGTGTCACTCTGGTCTCATGTAGTTATCATAGTGTTCCAGAAGAAGCTCCTGACTACTTAATTCCTCTTGACATATCCAACAGCTAAATATGCTTAACTGGCTGGTAACTTCTTTAGAAGATTTCCCTTTAATGTGTGATTCCAGAAAATAAAATTATCCATACCCCCCCCCTCACAGATGGTGAATGGAAATTCCTAAGGGGTGGGGGGGGGGGGGCTAAAGGGTAGAAATTTCTGTAGGGTATGGGGGTTGCCCACGAGAAACATTCTCCACAGGGTTGTAACAGACGCGATCAATCTTACGAGACATACTCAAGTATATAGATTATTTTGATTTGTAGCACAACAAAAATCAGAAATAGATGTCCTTTCGAGAAAAAACTTAAAGATGTAACGGTCGGTCCGTCCAACATTTGACTTTGACAAAGTCTTTACATAAATATCGTCCTTTGGGCAAAGGGATCGCAGTTCTCGGTGCAATTCTCAACAGGTCCCTTGCTTCTCCAGGAATAAATTGTAGCACATCGATTAATAATGTCGAACATGTATCTAGATTGCGGACTCGATTGCAGATTAGTCTGATAAAAACTGAAGCTAATCGAGAGCAAACGTCGTCTATCTTGGCGCTATGTTTCTCAAGCTTGGTGTAAACAACTTTATGCAAATTTCTATTGACATTCAGGGAGCTCATCGCGACAAATGCTGTGTGACGACCCAAATGATAGCCTCCCATGCAAATGTCTTAGGGGTTTGTGGGGGAGGAAAAGATTGCGTGACGAACCCGTAAGAATGTCTGCGTGGGAGGCTACCCAAATGAGAGCTTTGCTGTATTTTATCATTGACTTCTAATAAAGTACTGTTGAAGGCAAGCTGTTTGTCGAACAGACTTCTCGCCAAATCAACTTTTGCCCGAAAATATTAAGGAGACTTTCGATCACGTGCTAGGCGACAAAATAGATCATGTTTCACCGATGTTCATTTCTGAACATGAATCGATGCAAAAATAGGATGCAAAATGAATGTTTGCATAGTTTGTTCTTTTATAACCCAAATAAGTTTTTTTGTAATTCCTGAAATTTGTTTAACTGCAGGCGTAATTCCTTCAAAGTTAAAATTAATTACAAACATCGACTTTGTGGTGACTTTAGGACCCGAGGCCCAACATTTACACTAACACTAAACTTTGTTTGTAAGTTAGTTTTTTAGTAGATTCGTTTTGAAATTCGAAAATGTTCACATAGTTTTATTACAATGAATAGTTCAAATTTGAAGTTATGCTGTAAATGTTTTCTTGAGATGACATAAGCATATTAATCTCTGTTTTCGTGCCTTGCACATTTCGCTGGATGGACTAATAAAAAAGAGACACTGTCATTATCAAGCGTGCTCTACCTGCGTAAGAAATACATATTGCCTTGTAAAAGATTACAAATATGTCAAAGATTATAAAAAACTGTGTCTTAAGATGAGAACAGTTAATTTTAAGCAGTAGACGGTCAATAATCTCTAAATGCGGCAAATAAAAGCCATGACATGGAAAATAGGAAATTCCTGGGGGCTGGGGGGTTATACATGACCCCTCTGGAACGGAAATTCCGAGGGGGTGGGGGGGGGGGGCTAATCAGAAGAACCATCCGTGGAAGGGGTATGGATATTTTCTGGAATCCCACCATTTGAAGTTGTTCATGTCTCACACCATAAATAAACTCTTATAGATGAGAACAAAAAAAAAAAAAGAAAAAAGGTAAAAACCACACAAAGAGGGAACAATAAAAAGGAAGAGACGAAAAGAGGGCAGTTCGTGGGGGGGGGGGTGTGCGCGCGCCCCCCGGGGGAGAAAAATGGGGGGGGGGGGGGGGGGGGGTGTCTAATCAGAAGAACCATCCGTGGAAGGGGTATGGATATTTTCTGGAATCACACCATGTGAATTTGTTCATGTCTCACACAATTTGATGAGATGTTAAAGCACTTGTTACAATACCTGCACTGATAAGGTTTTTCTCCTGTGTGGGAAATTTCATGCCTCTTACAAGATGATGATTTTATAAAGCATTTTTCACAATACTTGCATTGATAACGTTTCACTCCTGTGTGTATCAGTTCATGCTCCTTACAATTTGATGAGTAGGCAAAGCACTTATCACAATACTTGCATTGATAAGGCTTCACTCCTGTGTGTGTGCGTTCATGCTGCTTGCAATATGATGATTGATTAAAACATTTATCACAATACTTGCACTGGTAAGGTTTCACTCCTGTGTGTGCAAGTTCGTGTCGCTTGCAAGATTGTTTCACGGTAAAGCATTTATCACAATACCTGCAGTGATAAGGTTTCACTCCTGTGTGTGAAACTTCATGCTGCTTACAATTCCCTAGA